TTCTTTTCGCTTTATTATTATTGCTTCTGCTGGGGTTTCTTTCCATTTCTTTTGATGTCAAAACAAAGCCAACCAGCAGCAGCAGCAAATGTTTGCAATTGCTTATCGCCACAAACACAGTGTTTACACAAGCCAGCACAAATATGGGCCATTCATTCCGTCATCCTGGCCAAGGCATCCCAGCGGTCACCTTTTGGCTTCCGTTTAGTATTTGCCTCTATATAAAAAAAGAAAAACATACATAATAATATTTTCAACAAAATGAAATTGATATTGGGACAGAGAAGCACTCAAACGAGGTGGAATTATGGCTAAAAGTTCATAAAAACCGCAGAGGGAGTGCACATGTCAATCGTTTGAATGACGAATGCCCTTATGCTTAAAGCATAAATATAGTACTTTGGGTTATGTTTAAGCATAAATATAACTTTGTGTTTTATGTTTTTGGTTTGGTTTTAAAATTTTCCAGACATTTTGTTTAGGTATTTCATATTTTTAAAGATTTTTTTAATCATAAGAAAGTGGGATATTTCGATTTTTAAGGATTTTACTCAAAAGAAAGTAGGTTATCTGGATTTTTTGAAGCTTTTTACTGAAAAGAAAGTGGGATATTTTTATTTTTTAAGATTTTAACTCAAAAGAAAGTGGGTTATTTCGAGTTTTAAAGATTTTTTACTCAAAAGAAAGTGGGATATCTCGATTTTTTAAGAATTTTACTCAAAAGAAAGTGGGATATCTCGATTTTTTAAGAATTTTACTCAAAAGAAAGTGGATTCTTTTGATTTTTTAAGATTTTTAATCAAAAGAAAGTGGATTCTTTTGATTTTTTAAGATTTTTTACTCCACTATTTGTATTTTTAAAAATTTTTTACTCATAAGAAGTGGGTTATTTCGATTTTTAAAGATTTTTACACATATAAAAGTTGATTATTTAAATTTTTAAAGATTTTGTACTCAAAGCAAGTGAGGTATTTGGATTCCTGTGAGACTCAGACACAGATCCTCCCACTCCCTCTCGGTTGCTTGAACCCAAGTACCCTTAGGCGTCATCTCCAAAAGCCAGACTGTGTGCAGGTGTTGCCATTTTTTACTGTAATCCATGCGGATATCAAGTTCGAGTGCTCTGCAGTTATATAATACTCGGCTACACTCGATATTTCCCTTTATATATTTATTGGTAATAACATTTTGGCCGGGTTGAGGGGAAGAGGATATGGATATGGTTACGGGAGGGCCGGGTATTAAATGTCGGAATCAATAAAAAAGATTGACACACATGTGTTGGGGCGGTGGAGGAGGGTGTAACAGCTCTTCATTTATGAGTGGCAAAGTGTGTTGGTAGCATCAATTTTCCATTTCCTTAGACAGCATTCAAATGCGGAATCCTAATGCTTGGCGACTTTTTAATAGGATGTCGCACGAAACCACCACATCTCCGGCAGAATCGGCTGTGGTCTCACCCACAGATGCCTCCTCCAAGGTGGAGGTCATTGTGTACACCACCAAATCGGACAAGACTCTCAAACAGAATATGAATGCCAAGGATGATACGTTAAGGAAGCGCACATCTCTGATCATTGTGCCCCAGCAGGTGGACGATGTAAGGACCACGGGGGATGAGGTGGAGGTGGAGTCTAAGAGCCGGGAGAATGGCAATCGTAACTCTGTGGCCAGCATGGATAGTTGTGTGTCAAATACCACCAGCCAGAGTAATCAGTCCAGTTCGGTGTCCTCCTCCTCCTCCTCCTCCTCGTCAAGTAGCAGTGGCTCCGATGTGGAGGCCCATGCCGCCTATCAGGATCTACAGAATGGCAATACGGGCCAGGAACTGCATTCCCCATTACCCTCGCCCCGTTGCCACTCTTCATCCAGCTCGTCCTCCGCCTCGGAATCCACCTCCTGCTCCAGCTCCGCGGACTACTCGCTGCGTGAGCAGCTTAAGAACTTTGCCAATCGCAATTCGGAGCCGGAGCAGCTGCGCTCCTCGGAAGGAGCTCTGCCGGCCAGTCGTCTGCTCAAAGGGATGAGTCTGCCAGTAGGAGCAACAACAGATCAACAGTCGCCACCGGTCAGCGGTGCTTTGTGCGATGCCTTGTTGAGTCCCCAGGAGGTGCCGCTGGGCAGGCGTTATGCCGAAGTGGCCCAGTTCAAGGGTCATCCCAAGGCTAGGTGAGTTTTTGGGGCTTTAAATTGTAAACTTTGTATAATTTTTGAGGTTTTTTACATATTTTAAGGTTTTAAATTTTAAATTATATATATTTTTTCACTATAAAATCTTTACAACCTTTTTAAGCTTAAAAAGAGGATATTTTTTAAAAGAAAAATCAAGTGACATCCGCTTCCTTTTCCATATTTATCAATAGAAGTTCTCCTCCACAAAAAGTGACCCAGTCTCTATGGCAACTCCTCCAGGTTATCTAACCACAAACACTTGGCAGTCGTCTCCTCTACCCAGGAGTAGTTCCTACCTCTCTGAAGTGGCTGCATTGTTTGCTAAACGATGTCAACTGGCTGCTCGAGTCAAGTCGAGTCGAGTTGAGTTGAGTTGTGTTGCTTGTCGAGAGAGAGAGCTTCAGGCATGCTCCTACTGGAGGAGTTAGGGGGGGAATCCCCAGAGCAGCTCCCGACAGACCGATCCATTCCTCATCTCCCTGCTAGCTGCACATGCATAATACACAACTTAATTAGTAATACTACTTTATGGCACTCTCGGGGAGGCAGCTACAGAGTCCTCCTCCTCCAAGTTGGCCTTTTTCAGCTTTGGTTTGAAGCGAGTAAAAATCTAATAATGGAGCATTCCACACACGCACTGCCATTGCCACATTACCATATCAAAAACGGTTGGGTTTGCTGCCCTCCTAGAGCCCCGAGGGCATAGACATGGGGTTAACTGTTGGGTCCTACCCTACCCAACCTCCCCTTAGAAGTGCAGTTGTGAACTTTGAACGCACTGAACTCCACATACACACACACACACACACACACTCGGTGTGTCAGCTGTCAAATGGTGAGGAGGACTCTCCAGGAGGCAGGACTCTCTGGCTTCCATCGCATCCATTGACAACTATGTTGAACTTTTTGAAAGCTGTCACAACTAATTTGCATACGCCCTGCACTTCCAGCTGGAATCCAATCCAATCCAACCGCATCCTGAATGGCTGGAGGAGACCACCCTACCCGCAACCATACATATATCCTGCGCCTTTGTTGTACATATGCTTCCTTTTTTGTTTTGCTTTCCACACTTTGATTTAGACCCGGCAGTTCCTCTTTCACTCTCCTCTCTCCTTCCTCCCGAGAGTAAATATTCATGGGGCTGCAGGAGGAGCTGAAAAACTTTTGACAATTTTCGGGCCAACTGTGATTGTGCTGCTGCAAGGACTCCCCCGCAATTCGTTGCGGAAAAATAGGATGGAGAGGTTGGCAAGGCCAAACTTTTCAAATTTCACTGAGGCCCCAATAATTGAGTTAGCTGGGAGAGAAATCTTCAAATATTTGTCTTTTTTTTTTAAGAGAAAAATTTTTAAAGAGAAAAATATCAACGCCTTGGCTATTGTCCAAAACTATGGAAAACCAGCTATTACTTAAGGTTGCTCCTCCCCAATTCCCTAGACATTTACACTTAATTTCATGACCCGAATTGACCTTCAATCAGCAGGCAACAAAACGGCAACCGCCGCGCCACAGGACACCAAACTAGGCCCCAGACCTAGACCCAGAGGTCCGTGTAGTCGTTGCCACTTAATCTTAATTGCCAAGAGTGGAGGCATTTCCATACGTTACATCAGTAGAAGGACTGCTACTGCTCCAAGTCCCACCACCCACTCCCAACCCCAGCTGTCATTTTGCTATTTTGTTTATCGCTTCGCCTTTTGTTTGTTCTATAAATCCTCATAAATTCAAGCCGCCTCATGTCCTTGAGTTTTTATAGGCCGCCTAATTTCTGAAAAGTGTTTTATTATCCACCCAAGCAAGAAGGTCCTTGCATGCGGTTTGGCGTCCGTGTTTGTTTCGTGTTAATTTGACATGATTATGTCAGAGTGTTTGACAACTTGTCATATGGCTGCGACGAGCATTTTTCGCCTTCTTCTTGTTTATGAACATTTTCCATCGTCCTTTAAGTAGTGGGTGTGATCCATCAGCAAGAAAATGGGGGGGAAAAAGAAAGCGGGCACATGCCGGCAGTTCTTTTTTCTGTCACTTTATTTTCTCTCTTTCTCCCCATCTATTCTCTAGCCATTCATTAATAACATTTGTGTCCTATCGTAGAAATATTGTTAAAATGGCGTAAAATTGCCCGCTTTGAGGCGTCATGATGATGTGCAAGTCCCAGCGACCTTCGTCTAGAATTTTAGCTTCGCACAAAAAAAAAAAAAAAAAAAAAAGAGGAAAATATAAAAGAAAATGTGTCGCAAATTAACCTTTTGACAGGCGACTGAGGGTGCCCAAGGACTGGCAGCTGACAAATGGGTTCGGGATTAAGGATGTGGGCTTAGGCTTTAAGACTTGAGACTTAAGACTTAAGACGAGAGACCTTCCAGGAGTTGAGAGATTGAAGGGTTTATAAGTATTTTTGATGCAGATAATTATAAAAACTGTTTATTTTTATAAACAAATTACGATGTTTTAATTTTAATAAATTATTTAATATTTATTATAAGTGAAATATATTTTAAATTATTTTATTTTATTTATTTTATACTCTAAAAATTCATTTTTATATTTTTTAAATATTTTTATCATGTTAATAATCACCCAAAGATTTTAAAATAATTTATTTATTATTTACTGTAACTGAAATATATTTGAAATTATTTATTTTAATATTAATATTAATTTTAAAATATTTTTAATATTTTTTTAATCACCCAAAGACTTTGTATTAAAATATAATTAAATATAAATAATTATTATAATAATGGGTTTTTCCCATTTAACATTTAAAATTATAAAATTCTTGTCATATTAATAATTAATTCTTTATTTTTTCCCTCCCTCAGAACCAGCGAACCGCTACCCTCTGTAGGCGCCACCACGGCCTCGTCCTTGGAGGCAGCCTCTTCTGTGGACTCCGCCATCAGCAAGACCATCAATAACAACATCCATCACAATGGCGACCAATCACAGCCACAGAAATCTCAACTACAGCAGCAGCACCAGCAGCTGAGTGTCCTGGCCAGGGCCAATCTCCATAATAATAATAATAACAACAACAAGAATCCGAATAGCCAGAACGGAGTGGCCAGCTCCATGACATCCGCCTCGAATGTGGTGAATCAAAACCAAAGCCAGAATGGCGATAGCCGCCGTAGCAGCACCCTCGATCCAGATGCGGATACGGACGATGTGGTGGATATGGCACACAATGGAGGAGGAGCCTTTGAGGATGATATGGAGGCCTTGTTGCCCAAGTGCTCGCGTCGCTCAAGGGATGAGCTCAGTCAGGTGAGTTTTTCTAAAAAGATTTTTTAAAAATTAGAAAAGTAATCGAATCCAAAAGGGGCACCATATGCACGGTTTCTCCTTTCCTAGTTAGACATCTCCTGAGGCTGGGAGGTTGGGTTGTCATTGGTTTACTCGGTTTTAGTCCTTGGAGAACCCATAGACATTTTTCGCCTTCATTCCGGGCAGCTTTCCCACATGTGGCTGCCAATTACCAAGGCCTGCCAATGGGCCCTAAGTGCCTGAGTTTCGGGTTCTGTTCATGTACTCCTCCATCCATTTATTCCTTCATTCATTTCTTCATTCATTCATTCATAATTTGCTACGTGTTGCCTCAAAATAATAATGATTATGTTCTGTCGGGTCCATAAAGTGCGCATCAAATGATTTCGTCTTTTCTACGAAAATAAAAATTACAATACACGTCCTTTCGTCCTTAGTGCTTGCTTCAGTTTCCCCATTGGAGTTTCCCCCCCTTACATTTCCCTTACAGTTTTCTCATTATTGTGAGCTGGTCGTGCGTGCTCTGGCGGTAAAAGCTTTCTTATTTTATTCTATGGGACTTTCTTCATTAATAACTGTGAATCCTTTGGCCCCCCGTCTCGTCCAGCTGCCTAATGGTTTGTAATTTCCTTCAGAAAAGAGTTTGACAAGTCAATTTGTTAGTTAATTTGATATGCGTTGCTATGCAGAAGGCAAGCAACATCCACTCAGTCAGTCATGCGTTCTAATTGCTTAATAATTTCCCAAAAAACCACCATACTCTTTTACGGAGAGCTGCTTGAAATCTTGGCTAACCAGATTCAAAGGATGGATTTTACATCTATACATATATATATATATATTGTATATGGGATGAAGTGCCTGGGGCGTGGCAACCACAATTGAGATGGTCCAAGCCGAAATCGTCTATCGTCTGGGGTGTGGCCAGCATCAGACTCAGACTGAGACATGTGTTCACATTTTAATTTGCAGCAGGCTGCACTTCCTCCTGTTGCACTTGCTGTAGGCACTGAAAAAAAAATTATATATACTAAAAATTCTAAAAATATATATAAATTTTCTATACAATTTTATAGATTTTTTATTCAGTCAAGAAATCTCTTAAGTTTTATTTGTTTTCTTCAAAAATTAAACTTTAAACAATTTGGCAGCCTTTCAAGAAAATGCAACAGTTTATTGCTGAATTCTTACTTGAGAATTTTAAGGTGCCATATCTCAAATAATTAAGCCTTCAAAATAAGGCTTAAAATTTAGCTTAAATGTAAATTAAATGCCTTTAGCAACATTACCAAAGTCGTCTTCAGTTTATATATTTTAAAAATATATATAAAAATCTTAAAAAAAAAGATTTTCCATTTAATTTTCATTCAACATTAAGTACTATTATTTCCAGTGCATTTCCTCTTTCTGCCTGACCAGCAGCTGGGCATAAAATATTGATTTCAAACATTGCCAGACAGGCCCAAAACAGCTGAGGCCTGGACACACACATCCACACATCCTTTTCTTCATGCTCCTGGCTGCTTGTTACTGGCTCTCCTGGCTCCTGGCTCCTGGCTCCTTTCGCCTTGCTCCTTTTTGGCCATTTATGAATATTCAATAAAAACAACAGCGAACATCAACGATGGGCGATAAAAGCGTCTGGTCTCCGGTTGGAAAGTGTTGTCCTTTCTGGCCAATATTTTCCGGTGCAGGAATGATGTTGCGGTGCCGGAAAAACTCATGCATTTTCTGGCTAGGAAGTGTGGGTTTGGGTGAACACAAACTCGAAAGTTTTTATCGCCCGTCGCCGATCAGGACTCTCTCTTTGAGTTTGAGCCTGGGAACTGGGCAACTTTATTACTTTCATTATGCTTTATCCCCTGGCCCCTGGCGGTCACCTTCCTTTGGCCATAAACAACTTTGCCTCTAATCTCCTGGCTGCGGGCCATGTCGAGTGGACATCTCCTCGTACCTGTGTACCGTGTCCTTTTTCGCTTCTGTGATCCTGTTGGGGGGCAGCTGTTTGCACAGGTGCACACGTCTGCTAATTGCAGCGGTATTAGTAGAGCTTTGTCAGCGGCTTAAAGCATCTCTCTTGTGTCCATTGGGGAGTTTTCTGGGTTTTCTAGGTTTTCTAGGGTTTTATGCCGCCTTTGGGATACCCTTTTTTGGGGGGTAAATAAATAAATAGGTAAGAAAAATGATTAAATTGGATTTGGAAAGATTTGGTCCTTGAAAAGGGTTTAATTTTTGTGATATTTTATGATATTTATATAAATATTTATATATGTAATCTTTTTTAAGGTTTTTGTAGGTTAAATTCACGTTTTAACTTGCTAAAAATTATGTTTAATATTAAAAATAATGAGTAAAACTTAGAAAAATAAAATATACATAAGCTGCTAGCTTTAGACTCGCTGAACAGTCATTTTTTACAAAAACTTAGTACAAATTTAAAGGGTATTACCTTTGCTCCCTTTAATTTTTTTTGTTTTATATATATATTTTTTTTTGATTTGGTTGTTGCTTTTGCTTCTTGTTGCTTGTCAGGCAAGAAATGTTTGCTGATATTGTCAGGTGGGGCAAAAAAAAAAAAAACAAAAAAAAAAAAGGGAGGAGAAGGACATGCAGCGACATGCGGCGACCTGCGACAGACGACCGCAGCAATAAGGCTCGAAGGGCTATGCCAGTGTGTTGTGTGCTTGTGTCCTGGTCCTGTTCTATCCTGTCCTGTCCTGTCAAAGCCAATGAGCCGTCTGTCTACCCGAAACATGTCCTGCGGTCTCCTCTAGCCAGGTTTTTAAAGTCCCCAAAGTCCCCTCTAATGAAGTGTGTATGTCCTGGATATTCGTTGTTCATTTGCGTTAGTTTCAGAGTGCGACTTTGTCGTCTTCTCGGGTTTCAATTTTTCGAACGCATATTCTTTGGTGTGTGCCTAATGGCTTTGACTTTTTGACAGCATCCCCAACGCTGTGAGGTCCTTGTAAGTGTTCTGTTCTGTTCTGTTTTCTCCTCCCCCCCAACAGAAGACTGTCTCGTCTTCGTCTCACATCTTGACCATTTAATGGCTCACTTTATGGGCCCGGCTTATTACTTGAGCTGAATGTTTATTGCATTTCCCATTAGGACATTTGGTATTTAGAATTTGTTTGCTAGCTTAAGGCACTGTTGGCCATTTTCACAAAATTTCCCATTTAGTCAAGAAGAGGCTTGTTAATTATGCAAGCGTTTCCGTTTCCGTTTTTGCTTGCATTTTGTGCAGCAGCAGCAGCAGAGAAGCAGCGTTGCCGAATTTCCTGCTTGTTAATTATGCATTCATAGTGCGACGGATGGATGGATGGATGGATGGATGGATGCCAGGATGGATGGGCTGCAAACGAATCGACAACATGGCGCTTCAATTAGCTCTAAAGCCCCAAACCCTAAACTAACACTCACTGCTGACAGAATGGAAATGTTTTGTGGCACTGAAACGAAAAGGGGTTTTCGTAAAAATATCTTTAATATAATTTTCTAAATTTAATCCTTTATTTATTTTATAGTTTTGAAAACCAAGAAAAATTTCCCCTAAGAAACCTTCAAGTTCCAAAAAGTTCTTAACTTTCAAGACAACCTAAAACTAACTTGATTCTCCAAGGAGAATTTCTATATTCTCTGGCCAAAGATTTATTTGTCGAGTGCACTCGAAAGGGACCTCAAAGGACGACTCTACCAGTTATATAATAAATATGGGTTCTGGGAGATGCACACACACTCGAAACTCACACCCATGTGTCACACACTCCTGCCTTTTGGCGTGTGTGTGTATGTGATGTCTAGCTGCTGCTGCTGTTGCGTCTGCTGTTGCCATTGCGGTTTTCCCTCCACTTTTCCTCCATTTCCCCTGTCCACTTTTTGGGGCTCCCGCTGGTGCTGCTGCTGCCGCCGCGTTGCTGCCATTAAATGTAATTCTCTGTGGTTTTTATGGTTTTTTAAAACATTCAACAACATTTTACGTGGCTGCTATTTATCTTTTATTTCCACGGATGCTGCACTCGCTTCGGTCGCTCGCTGCTCCCTTGATCCCTGGCCCTCCCCGTTTCCTCTGCCTTCCTGTTCTGTCGTATCATGTCCTGTGCACGTTTTACTTTGCCATTCTTCTTATTGTTGTTGTTGTTGCTAGTTGCTGTGTAGTTGTTATGCACAGAGGAAAAATATGTAGGAGTTTGAAAGATAGAGTAATGTTTCAAGTTATATAAAGTCGAATATCTCAAAAATGTGTTGCAAAAAATATATTACATTTTAGATTGAGTTCTGGAAAAAATTAATAAATAAAAATAAATATTTTTATTATTTTTTTTTGTTCATTTTAAAATTTTTTTTTTTCATTATTTTTTTCATATCCTTTTTTTCATATATTTTTTTGATATATTTTTTTTTTATTATTATTTATTATTATTTTTTTTATATATCTTGTTTCTTGTATATTTTTGTTTTATTTTTTTTTAATATATTTTTTCTTAATTTTAATATATTTTTTCTTTTTTTTTTTTCATATATTTTTTTTTATTAACTTCCTATTTCTCCCAGTGTATCTGTTGCTGCCCTGCGTCAGGCAATAACTCAGTCTCGAGTGCAATTTGCCCGCATGCACGGCCACCGCCACAGAGATGGCGAAAGGGAGACACGTGCACGGCGGCTTATCGCTCTCACCTTTTGTCAAACTATTAGTTGAAAGGGCAAATTTTTCTCTTTATTTATATATATGTATATATATATATATATTTTTTTTTTTTTTTTTTTATATATATGAAGCACAGAGAATGGCAGCCACCGTGCACAGTGGGTCTGATAATCAGCTTTGTGGGAACAATGGCGGTGTATATATGATTTTTGTGAAATTAATTTCACGCCAAGACCTGTGGCCCCGATAAGAGAAGCTTTATGCGGGGATTTACGCCCCACCCACACACACACACACACACACACACAAACACACACCCCATCTTATATATTGTATTATGTTTTATATCTTGATC